CAGAGAGACTCACAGAGAGACTCACAGAGAGAGACTCACAGAGAGAGACTCAGAGAGAGACTCACAGAGAGACTGACTCACAGAGAGACTCAGAGAGAGAGACTCACAGAGAGACTCACACAGAGAGACTCACAGAAAGAGACTCGGAGAGGGACTCACAGAGAGACTCAGAGAGACTCACAGAGAGAGACTCACAGACTCACAGAGAGAGACTCAGAGAGAGACTCACAGAGAGACTCACACAGAGAGCCTCACAGAGAGACTCACAGAGAGAGACTCAGAAAGAGAGACTCAGACAGACTCACAGAGAGACTCAGAGAGAGACTTCCAGAGATACTCACAGAGAGAGACTCACAGAGAGAGACTCACAGAGAGACTCACAAAGAGACTCACAAAGAGACTCGCAGAGAGACTCACAGAGAGACTCACAGAGAGACTCAGAGAGACTCAGAGAGAGACTCACAGAGAGAGACTCAGAGAGACTCACACGGAGAGACTCACAGAGAGACTCACAGGGAGAGACTCACAAAGACTCAAAGAGAGACTCCCAGAGAGAGACTCACAGAGAGATTCACAGAGAGACTCACAGAGAGAGACTCAGAGAGACTCACAGAGAGACTCACAGAGAGACTCAGAGAGACTCAGAGAGACTCACAGAGAGACTCACAGAGAGAGACTCACAGAGAGACTCACAGAGAGACTCAGAGAGACTCACAGAGAGAGACTCACAGAAAGACTCACAGAGAGAGACTCACAGAGAGAGACTCAGAGAGAGACTCACAGAGAGACTGACCCACAGAGAGACTCAGAGAGAGAGAGACTCACAGAGAGACTCACACAGAGAGACTCACAGAGAGAGACTCAGAGAGGGACTCACAGAGAGACTCAGAGAGACTCACAGAGAGAGACTCACAGACTCACAGAGAGAGACTCAGAGAGAGACTCACAGAAAGACTCACACAGAGAGACTCACAGAGAGACTCACAGAGAGTGCCTCAGAGCGAGAGACTCAGACAGACTCACAGAGAGACTCAGAGAGAGACTCACAGAGATACTCACAGAGAGAGACTCACAGAGAGAATCAGAGAGAGACTCACAGAGAGAGAGACTCACAGAGAGACTCACAAAGAGACTCGCAGAGAGACTCACAGAGAGACTCACAGAGAGACTCAGAGAGACTCAGAGAGAGACTCACAGAGAGAGACTCAGAGAGACTCAGACGGAGAGACTCACAGAGAGTCTCAAAGAGAGAGACTCACAAAGACTCAAAGAGAGTCTCACAGAGAGAGACTCACAGAGAGATTCACAGAGAGACTCACAGAGAGAGCTCAGAGAGACTCACAGAGAGACTCACAGAGAGACTCAGAGAGACTCACAGAGAGAGACTCACAGAGAGACTCACAGAGAGAGACTCACAGAGAGAGACTCAGAGAGAGACTCACAGAGAGACTCAGAGCGAGAGACTCACAGAGAGACTCACACAGAGAGACTCACAGAGAGAGACTCAGAGAGGGACTCACAGAGATACTCAGAGAGACTCACAGAGAGAGACTCACAGACTCACAGAGAGAGACTCAGAGAGAGACTCACAGAGAGTCTCACAGAGAGACTCACAGAGAGAGACTCAGAGAGAGAGACTCAGAGAGACTCAGATGGAGAGACTCACAGAGAGTCTCAAAGAGAGAGACTCACAAAGACTCAAAGAGAGTCTCACAGAGAGAGACTCACAGAGAGATTCACAGAGAGACTCACAGAGAGAGTCTCAGAGAGACTCACAGAGAGACTCACAGAGAGACTCAGAGAGACTCACAGAGAGAGACTCACAGAGAGACTCACAGAGAGAGACTCACAGAGAGAGACTCAGAGAGAGACTCACAGAGAGACTCAGAGCGAGAGACTCACAGAGAGACTCACACAGAGAGACTCACACAGAGAGACTCAGAGAGGGACTCACAGAGATACTCAGAGAGACTCACAGAGAGAGACTCACAGACTCACAGAGAGAGACTCAGAGAGAGACTCACAGAGAGTCTCACAGAGAGACTCACAGAGAGAGACTCAGAGAGAGACTCAGAGAGAGAGAGACTCAGACAGACTCACAGAGAGACTCAGAGAGAGACTCACAGAGAAACTCACAGAGGGAGACTCACAAAGAGTCTCACAGAGAGAGACTCACAGAGAGACTCACACAGAGAGACTCAGAGAGAGACTCAGAGAGAGACTCACAGAGACAGACTCACAGAGAGACTCAGAGAGAGACTCACAGAGAGAGACTCACAGAGAGACTCACAAAGAGACTCGCAGAGAGACTCACAGAGAGACTCACAGAGAGACTCAGAGAGACTCAGAGAGAGAGTCACAGAGAGAGACTCAGAGAGACTCACACGGAGAGACTCACAGAGAGACTCACAAAGAGAGACTCACAAAGACTCAAAGAGAGACACAGAAAGAGACTCACAGAGAGATTCACAGAGAGACTAAAAGAGAGAGACACAGAGAGACTCACAGAGAGACTCAGAGAGACTCACAGAGAGACTCACAGAAAGAGACTCAGAGAGACTCACAGAGAGACTCACAGAGAGACTCAGAGAGACTCACAGAGAGAGACTCACAGAGAGACTCACAGAGAGAGACTCACAGAGAGAGCCTCAGAGAGAGACTCACAGAGAGACTGACTCACAGAGAGACTCAGAGAGAGAGACTCACAGAGAGACTCACACAGAGAGACTCACAGAGAGAGACTCAGAGAGGGACTCACAGAGAGACTCAGAGAGACT